CAGAGATTACCACAATCTGAAAGTCTTATTCATGTGTGTGTCCCTACCTGTTTATCTTCTGTTTTCCCACCACACCCGCTAGAATGACAACACAAGGGCAGGGGTTTTGTCTGCCTAGCACTTAGAACGTGCTTGGTACACAGTAGGTGCTTGAGTATTTGCTACTACGTGACTTTGGGACTTTGCATACGCCACTCCCCAAGCTTAGAATATCATTCCTTGCCGCATCTTCCTTGGCGAACTCCTATTCATCCTTCAGAACCCCTTCCAGTTATCACTTAACCTGGGTAGTCTTCTTTGACTGCCTCACATACCCACCACAAAGTTGGAATAAGTGTCTCCTCTGGGGACACTCAATGCCCTGTTGCCACCTCCAGCAGTGCACATGTCACTGTGAATTGCTACTGTGGGTGCCAGCAGGGTCTATTTCCCCAATCGACCTGACTTCTTGAGGGCAAAGGACGAGGCACAATTAGGTCTCGGGGACCATTTATTGAATGAATGAATGGACAAATATGTAAGTAACTATATCTCCCTGAGACCCAGCTCCCACCTTATTTATATGCCCTGCCCCAACAAGCTGCCAGACCTGTGAATTCGACCTCCCTCCTTGTCCTAGGAATTCATCAGCAAATCCTACAGTTGGGGGACAGATATGGGGGGCATGCCTTGGGCGAGGAGGATGAGGGAAGAGATGGGGTGGTTTCAGATATGACATACAGAGGATCTTGGCTTAACAAGCAGCAGTGAGAATTCTGTTTGGTTCCTGGGATCTCCCAACAGAGAGAATAAACAATCCAGTTCCCCAATAACAAAGCTATCCCAGTTCAGGGACAGAGGCAAATTCAGACCCACAGAGTCCTAAAGTTCACTCAGTAAAAGGCGCTCTACTGTCGGTGTTTCGGTGCCGGGTCTCCCCCGGTGAGCGCCTGCACCCGGGGCTTACTGAGGCAGACTGTGCAGGGGTGTGAGCCTCCCCTGGTATTTGGGAACCACGTGCTACGGTTTGGAGAGAGGGAGGCGCCTCCTTTATGGCAGGGAAGAAGGAAGGAGGCCCTGGGCTCTGAACGTGGGCGGAGGCTCGGGTTTTGGTCTCACCTGCCGCTCCGGAGCGCAAAGGAGCTGCTGTGGGTGGGGCCTGGGGGCGCCTGCGCTCCACCGCCCTCCTCCCTCAGACCCAGGGACCAGACCCCCAGCCCCTCCCCGCTCAGACCCAGGGGTCCGGGCCCCAGCCCCTCCCCACTCAGACCCAGGGGTCCGGGCTCCCAGCCCCTCCCCCCTCAGACTCAGGGGTCCGGGCCCCCAGCCCCTCCCCACTCAGACCCAGGGGTCCGGGCCC